CCTTTTACTTGTTCTTTGACAATTTCATATATGTATAAAATTAGACCAGATGTGCATCTTTGCACTCACTGCTTCCTATTGAAAACAGAAGCTCCTTTGATAAAGGTTGGGAGCAGCACTAACCAATGACTATAAACATAAATATTTAGAAGGCAGTTTGATAATGTGAAAAATATAGTTCTACATTTGGTAGAACAAAAGTAGGTTCCCTCTAGGGCCCATAACCTCCCCAGCTGTAGACTTTTGGCCAGGTTTACAGTTTCAGGTATGAGTTCCCTCTTATAGAGCAGGCATCAAATTCAATCAGAAAGTGATTGTTTACCCCTATAACCTTTGTGTTGCTGGACATTTATTTAACTGTGCAAAGATGTGTTGCATTTGTTTATGTTGCAAAATATTTAACTATGTAAAGATTTGTTGCATTTGTTTAATTATGTAAGGAGGTCTTACTATTTTACCTTGCCTGCCTAAAGCACCTGGTTTGTCTTATAAAAAGCCGAATGGCCAATAATGAGGAAGGAGATACAGGCAGAACTTCTGGACATGGAGAGTAAGTAGGAGAAAGAATTTAGGCTCAAGGGAGAAGAAAAAGGAGACAACAGGGAGATGCCAGGAGCCAACCAGCCAGACATGGAGGAAGCAGGAAAGACATATAGAATGAAAGAAAGGTAATGAGCCCCAAGGCAAATTGTAGATGAATAGAAACAGGTTAAATTAAGTTAGAGAGCTAGTGGGATAAGCCTAAGCTAAGGCCGAGCATTCACAATTAAAAATAAGTCTCTGTGTCTTTATTTGGGAAGCTGGTTGGTGGCCCAAAGAAAATGCCAACTTGGTGCCACTATTTCGTCAGTAGACACATTTTCCCTGGTAGATCAGCGTTGTAGCATTCAAGATTAATCACTAGAGAATATCATTAAGTGATTTTTCTTCCACAATGAAATTTAATAATTACTTCTGATGTTCTAATTTTTTTTGTTGGTCATTTTTCTTTGAAAGATATGGAAAGTCATTGTTATCTTTTATCTGACAACTAAAAGACTCTTCAAGGATTTTGTTTCAGCCTAATCCATGATTAGGTCTCATTTTCTTCAGGGAATTTAAAAATTATGCTTTCTGCTTGTTAGTGCTGGAATTTCTTTTCTTTTTCATACTACTTGAAAAAAATTACTCTCTGAAAATTTCATGCGTGCATACAATGGACCATGATTATATTAACACCCCCCCAAGTACTTCTTCAACTCCTCCCAGGCCTCCCCAACACATCGTTGTGCCAATTTCATGCCCTCTACTTAGTTTTGCTTTTTAAAATGAACCACTGTGTCCAATTAGTCCAGTCATGTATACACGAGTGTGGGGCCAACCATGGAGTGCTGGCCACATCCCCAAAGAGGAGTGAGTCTTACACCATCAGCTGTCAACTGAAGCAACTCCTCAGTTAGGGGTGGGGCTTTAGGAGCTCCTCCCCCATAAACGCTAGAATTCTGACTGACTTGATCTTTTATAGGTAACTGTGTTACCTATAAAAGCTGCTGTGAATTCGTGAATGGACTGGCCATGGCATGTTCAGAACAGTGTTTCACAGCTCTTCCCTATCATCTGGCTCTACATTCTTTCCTCTTTCTCTTCCACAAATTTCAGTGGAGGTTATCACACCTTATTTTTTTTTCTCTAGAAAAAGGATATGTAGAACTGAATGGTATTGTAAAATAAAATAAAAGGAAAAAAAATAAAGCAAACCCTGAGTCAAAAGGCAAAAAAAAAAGGTATTAATAAGATTGGTTATAAATAAGAATTATGGACTTTTCCTGGAGCCGCACCTACGTATGCAACACTCCAGGGAAACTGTGCAGGCATGGGTTAGGGTCCTGTGCACTCCTGTGAGTGGCTGTGGTTAGTGCCCAGCCCGGCAATGTTAAGGGGGGGCTCAGCACTTAGATGGCTGGCTGCAGCCAGCTCCTGTTGTTCTGGTGTGGGTGCCCCCCCAAGCTTCCACATATTGCATTCCTAGCTTCCTAAGGCTTGAGTGGAACCAAGTGGAAAATCCATGTCTTTGATGGCTTCACAATCCAAAGATCCACCAAACAGGCACAAGTCTCAGACCTTGAGCATCTAAGTGGCTGCAGACATGAGAAATAAGTGTGAGACGTCAAAGAATATAAAGAATTATGTTTTAACCAAAATATACCATTTGTCCTTTACTAATCTTTTCCTAAAAAAGCAAAGTGTTTCATGAAAAAGACTGACACTTAATGGTTATATAATTTACTTATAATTAAATATGTAATTCTTGAAAGAGCCGCAAAGATTTGTTGAGTAGGTTACAAAAGGACATGCTGAGGAAGAAACTTAGTAATACTTTCTTTGTAGTGTGTGATATAATTGATTTCGTGAAGTTAATCAGAAAGGCATGTGTCCTGTTTTGTCTTCTTGTCAACTTGTCTCAAGCTAGAGTTGGCTGAGAAGAGGAACCTCAAATGAAAAATTGCCTGTAGGCAATCCTGTGAGATATTTTCTTGATTGATGATTGACATGAGAGAGCCCAGCCCACTGTGGGCACTGCCACCCCTGGGCAGGTAGTTCTGGGTTCTATAAGAAAGCGAGTTGATCAACCCACAGAGAGCTATCCAGTAAGCAGCACCCCCTCCATGGCTTCCGTTCCAGTTCCTGTTTTCAGGTTCCTGCCTTGAAATCCTGCCCTGACTTTCCTAAGTGATGTAGTGTGACCTCCGAGTGTAAGCTGAAATAAACTCTTTCTTCTCCAAGTTGCTTCTTGGTCATGGTGTCTTATGACAGCAGTAGACTCCTAACTAAGACAACATGCTTTTACTCTGGTAAATATTATGCTTTAATTGGTGTTGGAATCAGAAGAGAAGAAGGATTACAGAGTTGATTTGTAAATTCCCATGTTTCTGTTTTTATACTTTCACAGTATTTTCCATTAATAAATACTTTCTTTCCAGCCATACAGTTGATAGTTGTCCACTACTTATAACTTGAAAAAATCAAGAAAATACAAAATGAAACTTTTCTCTCAGAGGACACCACTTCCAACAGAGATCAACTCAGTTTAAGTTCTTCCTTAAAAGAAGGGTCAGTGTGTATCTAACACTGACTTCAGGCCCCATCACACCGTGGAAACCATTTATTTGATCCCACATCAAATTTCCTCCACATCAAGGTTTAGCAAGACTGCACCAGGTATCTCTTCTGTGGTTCTGTCTTTTTCTCTCCCATGTGCACACAGGGAAGGAAGGCTCTGCTTTGTGTACTTTCCAGAGCTCCATTCCTACCTGTGCCACTTAGAAAGTGTACAGTAGCCCAAGGAAGCAGGTAACCTTCGCTAGAGCCTAACATACTGTATGGTGGTTGGTTTACCATTTTACTACTGGTAGCAACAAGTTATATAAGACACCTGACAACTGATGATGGTGAGTGTCGACATCTTGGGTTATTAACACTGAGTTGAACTAAATACAGGCATAGCCCAGCAGTGGAAGTATGTTCCTGTCCCCAAATTCATAGGGGAGTTGTCTATGAGAAACTTGCTGGCTTGGAGGGCATTGATCATGGAACCGACTCCCAAACTTGTTTTACAGAATAGCCCCAATTTCAAATTTGACTTAGTTAAGTGAAAAATACAGTCTTCTAAGAAAAGTATTTAAACTCTTACTTATTTTTAACTTACCTTTCTCTCTGCTTCACTCTTTCCCTCCCTTTCTTTCCTCTCTGTCTATTCATTCCCCTTGCCAACTTTTCTATTTGCATTTTAAGATTCACAAAAGCTCTTTAGACATTAGTTTATTATACTACTTATCATAAATCTCCATCAAATGCTTTCCCCAGCTGTGTGATTATAGATTACATTTTTTCCCAATGAAGATAGAGATTTCAGTTAGATTTTTGTTGCTAGTTCTCAGACGGAAACTTAAATTTTAGTCTCTATGGCCAAATTCATATTTTGAAAAAAAATATTAAATTTTTATTTGCTTTATGTGCATGTCTGTATGTATGTGAGCATGCTCATGAGGTCAGAGGACAACTTGTAGGAGCTGAATCTTCCCTTCCAGCACACGGGTCCTGGAAACGAAACTCAGATTCTCACGCATAGCAGCATGCTCGTTTACCCACTGAGCCATCTTGCTGGCCCAACAGTCTTTTCCGTTTAGCATTTCTTCCAGTGTGCTCGTGGTTAGAGAACATTCTCCACCCCTGAGATAAACTTAGTCTAGACTTGAGTGTCTAGGTGCAAGGTTCCAGTTTTTTAATTTTAAAATATTTACTCATTCTATCATTTATCGGGGACTATGGGGGTCCAGTCCCTTGATAGTCCCCTCCCAGGGTCCGGGAAGAATCTACAACCAGCTGATAATTTAATCTTTGATGAAATGAAATGAATGTACGTACATGCAACTCCTTAGTCCACACACTTTATTATTCACTGTCAGTTCTTTCTCTACAAGGTTTTATTCTGCTCTTAAGTCTAGCTCCTTGCTTGCCTGATTTCTCTCTACATTAATCTGCTGTCTCCTCTAAGTTCTATCTTAATTTCTTCATCTTGGTTCTGCCCCATTTGGTTCTCATCCATCTAGTTCTTTCCCATCTTAGCTCCTCTCATCTCCTTCTTTCTCATCTTGTTCTTCCCCATCTGGCTCTTCCTCATCTTCCATCTTGTTCCTCTGGTACTTTCCTTTAGTCCTTCAGTCTAGTTCTTTCCATCTAGTTCTCTTGTCTCTGTCTCATCTTCAAGTTCTCTCTTCAAAAATCCTCCTCTCTCTCCTTATACCTTTCAGTTCTCCTTATACTGTCCGTTCTCTATAAGTCTCTCAGGAACCCAGTTAGAAACCCAATCAATAGCAATCCTCTTGCAGAGCGAGGTCACCAGGCTTGAATTCTTACGAGGTCATAAAGGCAGGTAAGAATTTTCCTCAGGCAGTAACCACCAGGCTTTCTTTTACAATCCAAAAGGGGAGAGGTAAAGGAGGAGGTCAATAGAGAGCTAATGATCAGTTAGTATATCAAGAAGAGAATTTATATGCTCAATCTACATTCCTAGAAGTGGTTAGGTAAGAAGTTAGGAGTTAGGGGTCTATTAGTAAGGTTGAATAAGAAAGGAGGGTCTCACCCTAAATTGCACAAGAAATGAAGCTATCCGCCTGAACTAGGAGATGGGTGTTGTTTCATTTGGCCTTGGATGCTTGATAGGTATTTTAGATAAATACTGTTAGGAGTTCTAGGATATACTAAAATATCACCAAGACTACTTCTTTCTTTCTTTTTTTTTTCTTTTTTTTTTTTTTGGTTTTTCGAGACCAAGACTTCTTAACCCATGGCTTGACCTTTGGACAAGTCCTTGACTTTTCCAAGTGGTGGCTTTTGTGATAGCAGCTGAATTCCACTACATTTTCCTGCACCTTGCGGCAATCACTTGTTTTGTTTTCTATTGTGAAAGATGGGTGGTGTTATTTTATAATTATTTATTTTTATTTTGTGTGCATTGGTGTTTTGCCTGCATGTATATATGTGTGAGGGTGTATTATCCCCTCAAAACCGGAGTGACAGACAATTATGAGCTGCCATGTGAGTGCTGGAAATTGAACCCGAATCCTCTGGAAGAACAGCTAGTGCTATTAACTGCTGAGCCATCTTTCTAGCCCTTTATTTCCATTTGTTAAATAACTGTCTCAGACCATTAATAATGAATTGCCTTTTATATCTTGATTCTTGTAATTTTACCTTTATTTCAGATCTAGCTCAAGCTTCTTATTTTTGTTATTTTGTTTTTTAAACTCATAGAGTTGGCTTGTTGCATAGCTATTCTTTATCACTGTTAAATATATTTTCATATCCCACTGAGATGTCTCCCTTTATTAAGCTCTTTTTTTTTTTGCTGATTTATTCCTCTGATAAACTTTTGGATGATTTTCAAAATACACTCTATCACACTCATTGTCCTAGAATTTATTTGGGGGCTTTGATGGATTGCATTAATTTTATTTTCTCCCCATTCAGCAGCAGATAGCCTCTTTACATGAACGCCTTTTAATTTCCCTCGCGGTACTCTATAATTTTCACTGTTAGCAGCACACAGTTATTTTAAAGATCAATTTTCTAATTGTGCATCATGGTATTTTTTTTTTAATTGTGAGTGTGTTTTACTTCTTTTTAGTTGAAGGTTATTTTAGCAATATTATTGATTTTTGTATATTTATTTTGGATTTGATCACTTAATAGAAGAGCCACTAATCCCAGTGATTTCTAAAGTCTTTATAATTCCTTTAGATTACTTAGGTAAACAAATATATTATTTGAATATTATTACTCTAACCCTCCTGTGGTTTTTTAATTAATGAATGTACCTTTTATTTCTGGGGATATTTGTGTATGTGTGTCTTGTTTGCGATGTCTAGAATATTTGGAAATGGTGGTGATCAATAATGATAAATACTGGTTTCTTTTACATTTTTTAAATTTAATTTTTTGAGAATTTTATATATGAATACTGTATTTATGTCATTTCTTCCTTTCCCCTCCCCAAGTCTTTCCATAACCCCCTTCTCAAATTCATAACCTCTTATTCTTTGTTATTGTTACAAATACACACATACACATTTATAAATACAACCTTCAGAGTTCACTAGTGTTGTTCATGTGTATATGTGTTTAGGTGTCATTCTTGGGATTGGATAGTTTATCAGGGGCTCATCCCTGGGAAAGATTGAATCTCCCTCTCTTTGCAGTCATTAATTACTTGTAGCTCTTCATCAAGGGGTGAAGCCTTGAGAAAATTTGCCCATGTTTATTTCCCCATGGCATGTTAATTGCTATCGTCATTTTTCAAAACTCTTTAGGCAGCCGTATTGTTGAGATTTCATGGGTATAGCTTTCCTATCATATATAGAAGACACTATCTTGCAGCAGACATTCTGGTCCCCGGACTCCTACCACCATTGTCTCTTGTCCATGATCTTCCTTGAGCCAAGTGTAGGAGTCGTGTCAGACCTCTATCAGTTGGGACTAAGCATGCCACAAGTCAAAATACTGACTTCTTCATAATGTATCCAGAACATTAGAAAAGAAGATGTTGGCTATATGTCAACAATAAGTACATTTTCTTTTCATCTATTTACTTAACTTATTGAGACAAGATCTTACTGTGTAGTCCAAGCTGGCTTCAAACTGGCAATTTTCTTTCTTCCACCTCTCTACTGTTAGGTTTAGGAATTTTAACTGCCATGCCTGACTAAATGTTCCCTATTATGTCAATGAAGTATCATTTTAGCCTGAGGATATTTAGTACATTTTAAAGCCCAAGAATGTTTATTAAATGTTATCAAATTATTTTCCAGAGAGAAATGTCTAAGCATTTACTTTGCAACCCTTTGGTGTGACCTTTTCTAGCATGTATATATGCACATTTTAGGGTAATCTTTAAATATTCATAGTAAATTATTATTTAAATGATTGAATCTTATAATGATTGAACTACCTATGCTAATCTTTTATTTAAGTTTTGAATTTTTACTAATCATTTTTAGGTTTTGTTTTTTCATTTGGCCAACAACTTTTTCATTCATTGTTTCATTCACTTGATTCTCATTCTGAAGAATTTGAAATGTATTCAGGTAATTAATTTATATTAATACTTCAAAATCATACTTTAAAATAATATATAAATCCACTATTAAGTCCTTTCAAAATTTTATGTTCCTTATTTCTAATTTTGTTTGCCTCCTTTTTTCATGATTATATTTGCTAATATTTTTGTATTCTTTCTTTCTTCTTTTAGAAATTCTGTACCATAGTTTATTTACCAATTATGTGGTGAGGCATGTATGTGTGTGCGCATGCATGCGTGCTCCCCCCACCCCAGCATACCCATACACATGTGTGTACATGCATGTAGAGGTCAAAGGACAATCTCACTTGTTGTTTCTCAGATTTGTCTCTATCTCCTCAGTGCTGGGATTACAAAAGGCACCATCATACTCAGATATTTTACCAGAGTTCTGGGGATGGTCATCCTGTTATGGGATCTCACTTCACCAACTGAGTTATCACCCTACTTGCCAATTTTAGTGTTTTCCACGTTCTTTTGCATTAATTTCTATATTTATATTTTTCATGTTCTAACTATGATTCTGTTGACATCCTTAGGTTCTAACTTTTTCATTGGAGTTGAACTTAATTAACTTTTAAAATTTGAGCAACAATATTTCAGGTGGGGTATTTATCTTTGGATGTATACCTTGATAACAAGGGTTTGATTTTCAATACATTAAAACAAGTTTGTAATTCTGTCTTTAAGCAGATATTTTGGAAAGCATTCCTAATTTGCAAAACGTGTAAGTCTTTGCTTGTTCCAGCTTTAAGAAGTCCGAGGTCAGACTGTGCTGTGGTTGGAGGACAGTCTCCATGAGCTCTGCCTTGGGAACTTGAGCACTGGCTTCATGGCAGTGGTAGGTAAGTAGTTATAAAACTGTTATGGCATAATTCTGAAAAATTATGCATTTATGTTTTCTGCTGTTAGAACAGACAAATGAGTATATCTGTTGATTTTATTACTGATTATTTAGCAGGGACTAATACAGCATATTAATGGCTTCTATTACAGTTTAGGTTTCCGTTCACATCTCTGATGTTTTAAGGTCTTGGCTTTATAGCTACCGAGACTATGCTGTTTTACTGACAAAGGCGAATGATGTCATGATTTCCTTTAAATGTGTACTCATTACTCACACTGACTCTCTTGGGTAGGATTGCTATCTTTATGCACCCTCTGAAGTTAGTGTTCTCTATTTTATTTTGTGAGTGGCTGATAAATATTTCGCCCTCTGTGTACTGTCTGCTTTATTTATTTTAAAACCTCTCTTGTAAGCATCATGGATCTGAATTGTTCTTGCCTTATGTTAAATCCTTGCCAAGTATTCACTGAAATTGTTATAATCAACATGCTTATTTGTTTATTTTGTATTGGATTGTGATTTCACATATTTCCTTTTTGACACTGCCTCATATTTTAGAAGATAATTATTTGACATTTTGTGTATGTAGTATTGAAATTGTATTTATTTGTATTTCCTTATGATCACAATTATATAAGAAAAGCTACACAGAGAAACCCTGTCTTGAAAAACCAAAAAAAAAAAAAAAAGATAAATTTGGCCTCTCTTTACACAAAATAAAAAAGCTATCTTATTTTCAAACATGTGTTTTATTTTTCCTGCCTTCCTGTTCCCTTCACTATAATCTACACTTTTAGACACAGATATTTGTTGATAATATTTAACTTTATGTAGTTGCTGCAGCGTTTTGAATAATAAATGTACCCCATAGACTCATGTATTTGGACACTTTGTCCCCAGTTTGTGGGGCTATTTAGGGAGATTATGGAGCCTTTAGGAGGTGAAGCCTTGCAGAAGGAAGTACCTCACTGGGGGTAGGCTTTGAGGGTTTATAGCCTCACTCCATTTCCAGTTCTCATTCTCTGCTTTCTGTATTTGCTTTAAGATGTGATGTCTCAGCCTTCCACTCAGTCTACCTGCTTCCATACCTTCCCTAGCATTAGATTCTCCCTCTGGAACCATTAAATATAACAATTTCTTCCTTCTATAGGTTGCTTTGGTCATGCTATTTTATCACAGGAAAAAAAATACACTTGCCTGAGCAAGAGTTACTGAGATTTACATTTTGTTTTCCACCTGGTTCTAATGGCTGCTTCTACTTGGGGTCCTCAACAGGATTCATCTTTTGGTCAATAAAGTACAGCCTTAATGTTTTCAAAGGCGGTATGTGGGGAGTTTATCTTCTGAGTGCTTGAAAACTTCAGGAATATCTCTTCAGGGCCTTTCATACCTAAAAGCAACATTATCTGGGATGGCGTTCTGAACTTCTGCCTCTGATTCTTCCCTTTAAGAGACATCCTACAATATTTTCTATAATTTTGGAGACAACAAGTGCTTTGATTTTTATTAGAAATCATTAATACTTTTCCTTTCTAGATGTTTGATCTTAATTATTAAATTATTCCCCCCCCAGAACATAACTTGATATGGTTTTATTCACATTTTTTATCTCATAGATTTTTGCCTTGAGTATGTTTGATTTTTCAAGTATGTATATGGAATGAGATTCACTGACGTCCATGTATATGAGGAATTTCAATCATATTTACCTGTATATTGCCCCTTCCACCTCTTTTCTTCTTCCCCCCTCCCTCCCATACCCTTAACAGTCCTTTCTCTTTTGTGTTCCTGATAACTTCGGATTCCACATATCAGAGAAAACAAGTCATATGCTTATTTTACTTAACATAGTATCTCCAGTTCTGTCCATTTCTGAAAACATCATGATTTTGCTCTTCTTTATGGCTAGATAATACTCCATTGTAAGTGCTTTTGTTCTTAGTGGACAAAGACTTTTAATGGAACTATTCATATAAAGTTTTGCACGTTTCTCCCTATCTGGGGCATCATTCATGTTTGTAGCTGCTCTGATTGGGTTACTTCTTCCTGGCATTAACCCATCTGAAATTCTGGTTCTCTGTCTTTCCTGACTGCTTTTCTCTTGGGGTTTTAACTTGCTCATCATGTTCTTTGCTCTCTGAGAAACTTCAGGTGTGCCCTTTCAAATTCTTTCATAATGACTTTTAACCATGAGGCTGCTGGGCCTTATTGTTTTATTATGAATTTCATCAACATAGTAAGTGTTCGAGTATCAAAACTCTTCATTTATTTCATAATGGAAGTTAAGTTACTATCAGACTTTGGCCAGCACAAATTTCTCTACTCTAAATGTTCACACATGAAACTCCTGGTGTATCTTGTTAGGAACATAGCAACTTCCTCTAGGAGTACATGGGTATGCATGGAATTTCTGACAATAATTTCCATTTTTATGTTCTTCTATGCCCTTTTATCATGTTCCTTTTAATTGTATCTCATTATCATCTCTTTTGTCTTTATAAATTTCTGCTCCTATTTAACAGAGAAATATTTTCTTACATCCTATCAAATATGACAGGCATCATTGTAAGGTAGGAAAAACAACTTTATTTTTATTTTAATTATTTGTTTGTTTGTTTTTTGAGACAGGGTTTCCCTGTGTAGTTTTGGTGCCTGTCCTGGATCAGGCTGGCCTGGAACTCATAGAGATCTGCCTGGCTCTGCCTCCCGAGTGCTGGGATTAAAGGCGTGTGCCACCACCGCCCAGCCAGAAAAGCAGCTTTAAAAGACATTTTTATATAGGAGTGTTCCCACTTTTCTTCATTTGTAACATTTTCCCTTTGTTGTGGGTTTTCAGCTTTTTCTTTCTATTTGTAAATATCGACATTTCCCGTGTGTTCCCGTATATGTTAGCACTACGACTTTCTAGGTGGGATTAGTCAGTATGACACAGGCTACTCTATGAACTCTTAACCCAGTCAATATCACCTTCTAATTGACATGTTTATTGCCTGGGATGGACTCGTCTCCCTAGACCTGAATTTCTGTCCCTTTGTTCATAGAGTAATATGTAGTCCTTGTTACTTGAATTCTTAGCATTGCTTTCTGCCCCTTAGATGGCATCCTTAGAGCTCCCTCTGAGAGAGTCATAGGATAGTCTTTAATTGTATTTCATCTTTCAGGGATGAAGCTCTGACTCAGGATCTCACCATGTAACCCAGTCTGTCTTGGAATTCAAGATGCTCCTGCCTCAGCATTGAGAGAGCTGGAATTGGAGGTGGAAGTAACCATGTCTGGCTGTTTTCATCATTTTTCTTTAGCTTTGAGCAAATTTGGGTGAGAAGCTGGGGAAAGTGTCCCAGTCCCCGAAGTCCTGTAATACCTTTATTCTAGAGGACACGCTGGAATTTTATCTCCACATTACTCAATTATGCAATCAATGACAAGAATGAATAATTCAAAGAATTGATCACATGCATGCCAGTGGTTTGTGTTTTTCTCCAGCTTGGTGATTCCTGCTGACCCACTTCCTGATAAAATAACACACTTTCTTCTCATGCAGATGTTCTTGAAACTAACAAAGAGTGCCATCTGCCTCTATGTGGGGTGTGTTCTCCAGGCTCAACTCCACTTCTTTTGTAGAACTCAAAACACTTCACAATTTTCTTTCATTAAATTTCCCCCCAATATCTTAGGCACAATGTATGAAAATTTAAAAACATTCTCATCTTCCAGAAAACCAGAACAAGGCAAAAAGCACTGATTGAGATGAGACAGGAAGTCACTCAGAAAATTAACAGTGTAATATAATTCAAATTATTTCCCTGTGGGCCATTTCCCCTTCTTATCCCCTAGTATACTTCATTTGTGAAAAGGCACTTGTAGCTATTTGTGGAGTTCCTCCCAGATCAGCTGCTCCTTCTGAGATAAGTCTCTGCAGGCATCTGTAGGTCCATCCAGAGGAGGAGGCAATGAGAAGAGCTACCACTCCACTAAGTAGGACATCCTTAAATTCAGTGTTGTGGGCATAACCAGTAATATTGCTTAAATATGTCCACTCAGGAGGCTGGTAAGCATTTTAATGATCTTAGAACACTTATTTTTATAATTGCAGAATTATTGGTTGTTTTCAATTAGAGAAGCTTGCTTGTCCAGAAAACTAGAAAATAGGTTTAATGAAGATCTGTTACCTTAGAGGGAAAATGCACATGGGTATCTGACTTTTATCAATGTTTTAGTGTTTTTAGCAACAAGCTGAGGAGAGATACATATAACTGTACTGTCTTGTGACTTGACAGGCTGCATTACCAAGGGGTTAGCTGTTCCTTCCTCTAAAGAAAGGGAGGTACATAAAATAGTGATACAAATAGTAGTACAAACAAGAACAATTCACTGTTTCGCAAGTTTACTATATTTCAGGTTCTTCTCCACACATAACTCATTGAATCCTCAGTATAGTTAATTAACATTATTATTATTGCCGTTGTTGTTATTTTGAGATGGGGCCTCCCTGGCCTTGAATTCATGATCTTGTGACCTCCAACCTTAGCAGTCGCTGGGATTACAGGTGCACCCACCTTCAGGTAACAGCATTAGCTTCATTTTACAAAGGAGAATGGTCGTGATAGGAAACCCTCTTAGGACCTCACAGCAGTCTACGGTGGAGCCAGAAGTCCCAAGCAGTCTGGTTTAAGAGTGGTGCCCAAGTACTTCCACCCAGCCATCCAGCCGGCCAAGAGATCTTTAAACCCCGTTTTGTAAGTGAAGCTGTTAGATTTAGACAACTGATCCTTGGTGGGTGAAACAACCGCTCAGATCAGAAGGGAGAAATGAAGAGACTCTTGCCCCAAAGGGCGAGTATGAGAAAAAAAGGAATAGTGCTAAGTGGACACGCTTTGGGGGTTAATGCAAAAGAGGTGCATCTGTGTGTCATCTTTCCTGGTTCTTCTGTTTGTTTCAGTCCACTGGGATCTGCCCAGCCTCCAGCTGAACCTTTGCTTCTTTGTCTTACTTAGGAGCCTCAAAGTGGGAAATGTGGGAAAAGAAGCACTGGTGTCACAGCGGCCAGCTGGCAGAGGGACATTTCACAGCCACATCATGTGTCCCCTCCCCTTGTGAGCTTTTTCTTTCGACTGTTCTTTGAGATGCACAAGTCAAAAGCTCGGTTACTTATGTGCACTGGGATATTGTGAAAACTGTAACATCCCAAGTACTCAAACATGGCTAACTGGATCTGATGTTCATGATTTTGAAACAAGCGATAGCAATTGAGAAAAATTCTGACAGTGCCTGGGTCATAGGTTGTTGAGTAATAAAGTTACAAGACTGAGAAAGAGCTACCTCCTCTTCTGCGGCTTTGGGGAGGCAGTGCACTCAAGGCCACAGAACAAGCCCTGAACACCACTGCACTGAATTGCACATAACCGTGCTCAGAATGGCTCCGTGACTCTGGAGCATCTAGGCAATAAAGTCAAAGCATGTTGCTTGGCATTTGAAGCATTCCGTGGTCTGATCAATCCCGTCTGTCTAGTTTCATCCCTAAGACATGCCGAATTGTCACTCAGAAGCGGCACACTTCCACTGCTCCGTCACCAATCTCACACATACCCAGTGTTGCTGCTTAGATCAGGGTTAGAGGTTTTGTGTGTCACTCACCTATGCTTCATATGCTTTTAAATGACACACTATTCTCTGCTGCTTCTAGATTGTATGCTTCTTAAAAACCGTTCGTTCTTTCTTTTCCCACTTCACATTTCCCATGATGCCTAGCACTTTCTGGGGGCATTGTAAGCACTAAATACATTTGTGGTGCGGACTACAGAATCCCAAATGCTGGGAGAATGTTCTTCTCTGTTTCTTATACTTCCCTGAAAAGGCCAAACAGCTGTGGGTGGGTCTCCAGGGAATGAGAGAGGGGGAGACACCTGGAACAGGAAGCATGTGACTACCCCCCATTTCTTTACAAAGCGGTAAAGCAGAGAGAAACCTCGAAATGATTCTGGGTCTTCATGGCAGGGAGAAGAGAGACCCTTATTAGACTCTCAGCTAGATTCTGTAGGAAGTGGAATAAATAGGCCAGCATCTACAGAAAAGCAGACATTAGGACTTGGAGACTGAAAACTGTCCAGGGGCTTTGTACACAAGATCCTCATGTACACCATTGCTTTAGCCTCGGGAAAAGAAACCTGTGCCTACTGATGAGTCAAGGAATAAAAGAAAGACAAGGTATGGGGACACTTGCCTGGAATCACATCCCTCAGGAGACAATGGCAGGAATCCATGGCCACCCACAGCTGTGCAGTAAGTTCAAGGTCAACCTGCAATACATAAGATCTGGTCTCAGACAGCAAAACAAAAGAATGACAGCAGCAAAAAGAAATGAAGGGAAGTTACATTGATTAAATATTTATTTGTAGTCTCTTTTAAAGGTATTTAAAAAGCCAATCATATTTTATGCCAGATTTTTTAAATTCAAATTCTGGTTCTACTGTTCACTACATATACTATCTGTTTCCCAGGACAGTTCAAAGGGATTGTAAAATCAAGTCAAACACTAACCATTTATAAAGCGTTAAGAGTACAGGCCAAGGCACAAAAGATAGCATGTAAGCATGTATTAAAAAGAAATGTGAATTCAGTTTCCCAGATAATCTTATGTGGTATTATTATATAGTCTGCTGTAATTCTATTTTGCACCAACTTCAACAATGATGGTAATAGATGTATATTGTATAGTTGAACAGTTCCTCTTTCATGAATTTGCTTAACTAAAATGTTAATATATGGTCATTGAATGTGTACACTATAATGTCTGAGGCAGGACAGTCATAGTAATTTGGTATGGTAATCCCAAACTGGAAACCAGAGGTATCCTAACAGTAGAATGTTAAGGCAATCGCTATCTATATACACGCAATGGCATGCCAAGTGTCCATAGAAACACAATATCTCAGTTTCCTGTGGGTGATTCTGAAAAACACAAGAAGTGGAAAAAAAAAAAAAACAGGCAAAATAATACAGAGAGTAGGATTCCATTTAAATAATAAAAATAGGAAATGGATCTGTGCTGCTAGAGGTCAAAGTAATAGTAACTCTTGTGGACAATAAAAAAGGTTTTAAAACACATGATAATAAAATAAGAACCTAGTACAGCAGTGAGCTAAGTGGTCATAAATTAATATCTGTGTGAAAGAAAATCAGGAAGATCACAGGTTGGGGAATGTGCAGATGGAGATATGTTGGTGCTTATAACCCAGCGAAGAAGGATTGTACTGAGTAGCTTAGCAAAGGGCATCTGCCACAGAGCCGTCTTTACAGCGGCACAGTAACTAGACATCCACCAGAAAGGGCTCCCCAGAAGCCGCATGGTCCCCTCTGATAAACGGGGCATTCATTTGAGACCTTTGATGACATCTTCAGAAATTTAAACTAAAAATACATTTCACTTTGGGTCCCAAATTTTCAGTGAAGAATATGTGTAGTGTTTCTTAAGACTTTAAAGATTTTAGTGAGGTGCAATTATGTATTCTTGTTGATAAGTGTGGCTATATCTATGCAAAAATTCAATTAAATACTTTCCAAGTGTGACCAAAATTTTTGACATTGAGATGTGACATTGTCATCTATAAATTTCATTCTGGGGAACCACACAATCAATTTACAAATAAAATAAAATAAAAAATAATTAAGAAACCTCATAATGGGGAGTCAGCAGAGCCTGGTACATTTAGTAGATGGGGGAAGTTGGAGGGGTGGGAGGAAGGAAGAGGGGCATCTTTGATTGGCATGTAAAATGAATAAAAAAATTTTAATAAAAAAAGAGAGAAAAAAGAAAGGCAGTAATAGAAAAAGAGGAGGAAAGACTGAAAAAAAAATTCTCATAATATTTTAAGTAAGTTTCAGTTTTCTATAGGGCTGTATTTATAGCCATCCTTGGCTACACATAGTCCATGAACCATGGGTTGGACATGCCTGGACCAAGTTTATAGCTCTAATAAATTCATCATGATGAACATAAACTCCAAGCATAATGTGAACAAAATAGCTAATTATATTTTGAGAAATTTTCTTTCAAGTGATTAGGTTTGTGGTTGTAGACGCATCTCAGTTCTTCTAGATAACTAGCATTTTGAAAAAGATATAAAAGACCCATGTGAATACTGAAGAGTTGACAGCCCGACATTAGCATCTCCTAACTGGTAAAGCAGATGATTATTCATTCTGTGACATATTTTACATATTTAAACAATCCTTAATTCTTCTCTCTGTTAGATTTTACAAATTACTTTTCCCTGATGAGAAAAAAAAAAAATCAAGATTCAGTAAGTAACTTGCCCAGGACATAGCGCAAACATGCAAGAAGTAAGATTAAATGAATGTCTATATAGTTCAAAATCTGTTTTGTTTCTTACTATACAACACTGTCTCTAGGTAAAGTCAGATAAATGATTGCACACAAGTATCTGTATCCTAATATAGAATCCCAAATTAGTATCAAAAGCAAGCAGGTCCTTTATTATGTAGGCAAGCAGAAAAAAAAATGATGCTAGACAAAGCATATTCTGCACCAGGTTGAATAATAGAACATGGTTTATTTTTATAATCGTTTAACTGCAGTCATTCCATTGTGATTCAGATTGTAATTGAGGCACAGTGGGAGTTGAGGAATTTTGGGTGGTTCATTTCACTTACCTCTTTCTTTGTAAATTCACTGGTTGCTAGGAACCACTGCACTCCGAAGGATTCCCTTGTTTATACACCCCAGTTCCTGTGACACCATGTCATTCCCGTGATGACAGTGGGGGGCTCTTGATGAGATCTTCTTTGCACTTTTATTGTCAATGGAACTTAATAGAACAACTCTCTGGCTTCTTCGAACATAGTCTCTCTACTTCAAAGTATGTCATTACTAAATCGAAATTTCTAGGGAAGGAAATAAACCGTATGCTGCCGTTCCCTTCAGCGTAGACTAACCATATGCTACTAGAAATGGAAATGCAACGGTGCTATTAATTTAGACTCCCTGAGTTCCCAATGCTACCATTCCCCAGCTAATTTAAAGAAATCTTTTCTATTGGGCTGGAAAAATATTGTCTTTGAAAGAAAAAGAATAGGATTAGAAGAGACCAATGAGACTAAAAATTGTCCTCCTGTGCAAGTGGCCCTGGGGCTAAGAACACCACACACAGAAGACCAGAGTTCATGGAGTACACATTACTACATTGTGATCATTTAAAGAAAATGTCCCCCTCAGTCTGGGAAGATGTGTAAATCTAATTAATCTTATTAATAAAAACCAGGAGTCAGATATTGGGGTAAAAACCTGAAAGATTAGAGAAGCAGGGGAGCAGCCACCAGTGACTTCCTACCTCTTCCGTTCCTCCATCCCATAGGGCCGAGATTCTGTCTCAACCATGCCTTACCACTTCCTGTCCCTCTCTCTACAGTCCTCTAAACCTCTGTGGTTAACCAGTGGCTAGCTCTGCCCTCTGACTCCAAGCAAGCTTTATTTGTCAAAACACAAACAAAATATCACGCGACACCTGGGTGTTTGAACACTTGGTCCCCAGAGTCCCAGTTCGTGGCACTGTTTGGGGAGGCTGACGGGGTGCAAACTCACTGCAGGACATATGAGCGTTCAGAGCCTTCCCCAACTTCTAGTCCACTCTTTCTGCTTCCTGCTGGAGGTTGAGGATATGAGCGCTAAGCTTCCGGCTTCTGTTCCCATGCCTGTTGATTGTTCCTGTGCTTCCTTCCCTACCACCGCGATGGACTCTTATCCTTCTGGAAACATAAGCTAAGCTAAACTTTTCCCCCATATGTTGTCTTAATCATGTGTTTTATCACAGCAACCAAAAAAAAAAAAAAACCAATTAATATATAAATCTTGAAGCTGTCTTTCTAGCTGCAGAACTCTCAGGCTGACATTAGTACACTACTCACTGCTAATGGAAAGACTAAGTCTAGAGCATGATATTTCATTTGATTGACACTGAGTACTTCAGAAGCAGGAGTTCTTCAAGGCACACTAGAAGAGTATTTTCAGTGCTAGACAAATGACAGTCTTTGAGGTAAATTCAATAGAATTTTGAGGTTGTATAGAATTATATGCAGAGTCAAGTTTTAGGCTTAGATATTAACAAAAAATAGTAAAATTATCATGTGTAGGAGCAGTGTCCATAATCACATACAGCTGTTCATCTAAATTAAAAAAAAAACAAAGGATTACATGATTTTGTTGCATAATATGATTACATGGATGTAACCACCCACCCTCCACATCATACACAAATAATAAACAAAATAAAATGAAGATTTTAGAAAGCACAACTCAGAGCTTTGCAAATTTCATGTTTCTGCTTCTAGTTTGATTTTCATTTTGCCCATGATGCCATTTATTTATTTTTTAATTTTAATGTGGTCATGTTTATAA